CTTCAAAATCGTTTCAAAATTTGCTTTTAGATTTTTTAAGCGTACATAAACCAACTTAACATTTTTATAATAGGTCGTTACCTATGAAATTGCCGTTTTGTATGCAATAAGTGAAAGTACTTATTATTTCAAACTTTTTTATTTCTGTCTTTTTTATTTGTGTTTCTAGTACCAAGCAACCAGCTTTGGTCAATCGGTCGTACCCACTGCTCTTTCACGACAACGCGCGACCCCATACTGCGCAACAGACAGTCTCCAAACTGCAAGGGTCGGGGTTTTAAGCTCTCCCTCATCCGCCGACTATTACTTTTTCCAAAATTTAGACAACTTTTTAGTGGGTAAAAAATTCAATTCCCGAGAGGCAGTACAAAATGCCTTTGAAGAGTTTGTTGCCTCCCGTCCAGCTGATTTTTACAAGAAGGGCATCAATATACTGCCAATGCGTTGGCAAAGATGCGTCGATTGCATGGGTGATTACTTCGAACAACACAAATAAAAAAGTTTTAAAAAATAAGTACTTTCACTTATTGCATACAAAACGGCAATTTCATAGGTAAAGACCTATTATTTAGATGAAAAGATTAAACATTGCTAAGGAAAAACTGACGTTCGCTGTCCTCTGTAGTCGAATCCGCGAGGCAGACGGTCCTTCATCAACCGTCCGTCCTCCTTCAAAGCACAAATGTATGGGGGGATGCTAAACCATACACCCAGTAAAATACAATATTACTTTTAATATACTTAAGTAGGAATAAACAATTAAAATGTTCCAGGTTTAAAAATCCATTTCTTCAAACGGCTAACCAGTTTTTCTTTAATAATAACTTAGAATACTTTTGATTCATTTAAATATCAATTATTATTCAGTTTAAAATTGGTTATTCTTTTTTTTTAGACAAGTCTAGTCATTAGGAAGTAAGTCAAGTAGTCATTAGGAATATATCTTGTGTCGTGGGAGACTTTACACACATACATGAAACGGACACAAAGAACAGCCCCAGAGCAACAATTTGTAGCTCACACAAAATGTTGTCCCATGCGGAGATCGAACCCACAACACTCAACGCAGCAGGTGACCCATCCCTTTTGCATCGGGGGTTTAAAAAATTAAATTGCCTTCTAAATAAAATTATCTATTAAAACACAGACTTGTGGTAATATTAAGTTCTTTGCTAATAGAATTAAGAATTATGTTTGAACGAGATAATTGTAAAAGGGAAAAATATTGAAAATACACATTTAAATTTACTATTTACTAGTGATAACGAAATATTTTTGGAATGAGCGAAACGAGCTAGTTAGATAGGTATATGTTTAAGGTTTTAGGTAGGGGAGAGGATCCTCGGAGTGGAGGGGGGGGGGGGGTGAAAATTCAGCAACGCACTTGTGGCTCTTAAATTCAGATCTCCATGGGCGACGGTAAACGTTTCCTCTTTTGACCCCCACAGAATAAAAGAAACATAAATAAAAAGACTTGTTTTAGGATACCTAACCTACATTAACGAAAAGCATGTTGAACTATAATAATAATATTTCGGACATCTGACAACGCCCACAACTAAGCAGAGCCTGTACTATGAAAGCTGGATTGACTGATAGAATACTTATATAAATACTTTTTTTTCGACATACATATTTTACGTAGAAAACACCCAAACTCCGAAATAAATATTTGCAGATCATACAAACATTTGATCCGACCCGGGAATCGAACCCGAGACCTCAACACAGCAGTCGCATAAACTACCACTGCGCCACCAAGGCAGGCAGTCAGGCAGGCACTATAAAACAATTAACAACAAAAATCAACACCTAACACGACCTATCTCTATTCTGTGGCGTTAGACAAACTGCATGAATGGATCGGACAATACAATGGCATGGCTGTCCCAACCCCGAGGCGATCATTTTACGCTTCTACAGACACAAAGTGTCACATTACGACACGGAAACGAACTTACTTTTTATGACCAAGACTATGATCCTTTGACAAAAAAAAAATGTAAACGAACAGTAAAAATGTTTTAATGCCACATTTCAGTAGTTCCTGTTGTGTTTAACGACTGGTTTATTTTACTATAAAATGTGTCAGAAAGTTGTTAGAAGTTTTTGAGAGGCGTTTAAAAGGACATAACTTTAATTAGATAAGTAATAGTTGCTACGGATCTTTTGATTTCCAATTAGGCATATATTTTTTTTTTATTTTTAGCATATTTTCCTTCCTGTACTAGTTTTGACTTAATTTTAATTTTAATATAACAAACCTTAAGTACTCACTACATCAATGTAAAACGGCACCGTGGAAATCGATTCATAAATGATATATCTATTCACATATTATCGTCCCAAAATAATTATTCGAGCGCCTTTTTCAAGAAATGTGTAGAAGTGAAAGTCACAATTGTTAAACCATTAAACCATATGACATGACGGAATAAAGTTAAAAATGATGTACATGAAACTATAGAATCTAGTATGTATTTGGACCTGTCACGGTTTAATAACAGTTTAAATTATCATCATCAATAGTCCAGTGCTGGACTGCTGCATAGGTCTTCTCGTAGAACGGAGCTTTAGTTTAAGTTATATACTCGTAGTATGGTAAAGTGAAACAAGTCATTCAAACCAGACGGTCGATTCTGCTCATCTTTCAAAACATAAAAAAATAATTTTCAAATTACATTTATCGTTTGTTTGTGTGACGGGAGGCACTCCACAATGTTTATGTTGTAACGTCAACACCTTACAGTAATCATTTCTGTGGCCTTAGTTATTGGTCACGGGAGATGACAGCCCACGGCACCCTTTCATTATTTCGTTAAATTATCCGCCAGTACGTGTGTGGTAACCGAGTGATTTATAAGTTTTTTGTTATGTCTACATGAGGTGACGGAAAAGGTAAAAGACACATCTCGTATTAAATTGGTCCTCATATTGTCGTAATTTTAATTTTTAAGCAATTTGAGCTGAATTTTGTAAAAGTTATCACTGATTTCAACGCGACTAGGTAAATCATTTTGTATTGTAAAAAAACTGTAGTCTCCATACTTCAATTTTCAACCCGTAATCTAACTTTGTCTTTATACATAACTTCAAAACTTCAAAAAATAGAAATTGAACCGTATCGTAGTAGACTTAAAGCCGACCCCAAAAAGTCATTTTTTTTAAATTGGCTAAAAACAAGCCAAGTACGTGTCTGCTTCATTTGCTTGTGTTTTAATAGTACTACATAATACGAACTTTTCGGAGGGGCTCGTGGCTAAGATGTAATCGAATAGGTTAACATATTGCAAAGTTAAGCGATGCCTCTAAATTCAGAACAGAAAAAAAAAATCAGACAGCGCAAGGTAACCGCGCGCTGTCTGCTTTTTTTTGTTGTTACTGTAAAGTGCGTCTACAGAGCACGATGTTAAGTCCATATTTAAATGCTGATACTTTGGTTGGGTTGGAGCGGAATCGTTAAAGTCGGTTACGACCTTTACGCTCTTTTCTTGAGGGTTTGAAGGGGACATCGGTCCGAAAATCCCCAGGTGATACTTTGTTCCGCAGAAGTACCTACTACGAGTACACTTACACAAAATATATGTATGCACTCGTACCTATGCATATACTATCATTATAATTTTATTTACATTATTCAAGCCAACAATTTAGCTTGTAGGGGGCGTCTAGTGAGTTTAGTACCTTGTCGCAGAACGACCTATGTCCTCCATAAGCGCAGGCCTGGGGGTGACAGGTGAGGCCATCTGTCACCCTAGCAGAAGCAGGCGCGCTCGCTTCCAGGGAGCAGAGGGAACATGGGGTTCCCACACGGGGGGGGGGGGGGGTCGTCTACTCGTCTGTAGATGGCCCGAGGTATGTCGGGGCACCAGGGACTTCCTTTCTAGGTTATACCTGGTTCCCCGGCTATTAGTACCCGAGACGGCGTGCGGTTTTAGTCGGTTCGAGTCCGACACGCCACCGACAGGTGGTATCCGAGGGGATTTCAGCACAGGAAAAAAAAAAAGTAACTAACAAATAATGTACATCTGTCAGTAGGAGTTTTAAAAGTAGAAAACAATAATCAAATGATCAATCCGAGCTATCTGTTTTCATTTTTGTCAGAAACTATTGCAAATATTTATTTCGGAGTTTGGGTGTTTTCTATGTATAATATTTATCTATTTACAAAAAAAAAGTATAAAAGTATTTTATCAGTCAATCTAGTATAGTAGAAGCTCTGCCTAGTTTCCAACTAGATGGCGTTGTGTGTCAGATAATATTATTATTCTCTTTATTTCAACTTATTTTAAATTAGCAGTTTTACTGATCTTTTTAGGCACACGGAGCCCTTAACGATAGGGTAGGCAGTGTGTTTATTTACCACCTTAGTTTTGAAACAAAAAATAACCCGCACAGGTCAGTAAATATAAAGTGAAATAAAAATTGATCAACAAAGACTTGTTACTCAGTAGTCGGTTCGATTCCTACATACTTCTTTACGCTATCACCGGTGAGGTGAAGATGAGATACTAAGCAAATCTTTCATAATGTTATATATGAATATTCATTACATTGCATTGTAAATATTAGGTCAATTTGACATAAAATCTTTAATGATCCAAAAAATAATTTTCAGTATCGAAGAAACATGTTTCTTGAATACACTACTCAATACTAATAAGTAAGATCCCAGTTCGCACTTTTTATAAAAACCAAACGTAATTAAGTCATTAGCCGAATCGAGAGGGCATCTCAACACCCAAATGAAATCATCCTCTTTATTTACACTCCGTAGTAAACACTCCGACCAGGACAGATATATACAAACACTTCCCTAAATAAAAAGAGACGGCACGAACACCCTTAACCCCGCCCATAACGCACCACGCATCGGGGATTGGCTTCGGCCACCAATCTATACACCATCAGTGTTCCATCGCTTGCCTTTTAAACAACAGCTTAATTAGTGCCCCAAAACAATTAGTAAAACGAAGATTAATGAAGTGAATAGATTAAAAATGGACGCTTACGAACAACACAATGAAGTTTCAACGTCATATAACAATAATAATTTAAAACATAATTTCAACGAATGTAAAAATGACTTTTATCAGTACGTTGATGTTACTTATTTAGACAAAGAGAAACAGGTGGAGAAAGACTTTTACGACGAGAGAAATTACAAAGTGAAAATCGAAGAACCGAATCAGAATTTAACGACGCCATTTTTAGTGAAAGATATACTGAATATCAATCAAACGAATTACAATTACGATAGAAATGATGTCTGGAAATATAGCGAGAGGGAACGAAGACCATATGATTATGATCCAGTGTACCAGAACCAAGGATACTGTCCCGCTGAGTATTTTAATCAAGTGTATCCGAATGTGCCCGTACCCAATTTTGACCCATATTGGACCCAGGAATACCACGATCATAAAGTCGATGATTACTACAATTACAACCCGTACGGTCATAATATACATCATCAAAATTATGAACAGTATAGTGATGGAACATCTCTGCACGTTTCGCCAGAAAATCCTTTGAAAATTGAATCTACTCCATCGTATATTAACCATATTGAAAGAGAGGCAGTACCGACTACTTCTGAGAGTGTGGAGAGTGAGAAAAACTTATGTACGCAGTTTTCGACCGAGCATATCGTCAAAGGAACTGATTTGTGTAGGAAAAATACAAGTAAGGGACTTTATATTCTATAATATTATGTTTATTTGTATTTTGATACATTTTTTTCTTTCATTTCTAGATAAATAAAGCAAGTTAATATAAGTTAAGCAATTAACAACTTATAATCCAAAATCCAAAATCTAGAGATAGTTAGACATAGATTTACAATTACATAATATTAGTAGGTCTGGATATATCTTTCTAAATGTTTGTTTTTTTTTGTAACTTTTTAACTTTAGTTCTCATAAGTGTAGTTGTGTTACAGTCAATAATATATCTATTTCCTTGCCTACAGAAACCCCTACATGTGAAAAAGAAAGAAAAGATAAAAGTGCGAAAAGAAAACCTCGGATATTATTCTCTCAAACGCAAGTCCACGCCCTAGAAGTACGATTTAGAAATCAACGATACCTTACAGCCCCTGAGCGGGAACAACTAGCGGTGACACTTAACCTGTCACCAACACAGGTGAAAATCTGGTTCCAGAATCGACGGTACAAAAGCAAACGTATAAAATCACCCGAAGTGTCCACTTCAACGGACGCCAAACCTAGCAAAATTTTAAGTGGTAAGAAGCTGTTTAAACCTGAAAATAGGGAAGTCCAGGTTCCAGCATCTAGTTATGAAGCCTATAGAGATACTAGGTGTGACACAAAGCCTTTTAGTAACGAAAATTTAAGTTCAACAATGTATTTTGACGATAGTTTAACGTTTGACAATCAAACTGAAAAGTACACCGCTCAGGTAGGCTCTACACCAGATATCCAAGCTATGTACACGACTGATACTGTAGTTTTAGGCGACAGAAAGGAAATATATGATGAACCTGAAATTAAAAAGTATTTTCCGTTGAACTTTGTTTGTTGATTCGAATTGAATCTGCGCCTTTTTAGACTGATTGCCAAAGAGTATTATGTATTAGTTTTAATTTTGTTATTAAATAGTTTTAGAACAAACTGTGCAAGCTTGTGCAATGAGACTTTTGAGATGATATGCCAAAGTAGGTATTACTTATAATGTAAGAACTGTTTTGTACATAAAATTGTCTACAATACCTGATTATTTTTATTAAATTTTAAAACATAAATAGGACGAGTTTTTCTATTGCCCACCAAACAATACATATTATATCATTTCTTTATATATTTATGTGCCGTAGACCTTTACAAACATTGAAACAAAAGATAAAAAAATCTCCCAAATTTGACGCAAATACTTGATAACTACACAAATCTTTTGTCCTTTACGGTAATTGAACTTACAAGACTCAACCCATGCATTTTAATTTATAAATAATTTGTTCTTAACAATGGCTACCTATATTATCAGAGGGCCTAGTGCAAGATTATTTTATTTTGTATTTGGCACAGCAAGTCGCTCCTGACCGCGAGCGCGTTCGGCGCTCCGCTTAGTGAAGATGTCAGTGGGGGCCAATCGCAGCGCCGAACGCCGTCTCGTGACGATCGAGTAGATGCGAAATAAACTCACACTAGGGCCTCTGATATACATTGTCATACATAACTTCTTTTTACATAATGTTAATTCATACATAAAATGAAAACATTGGGTACGTAATTTCAAATTTATTGTACATTATTATTTAATTTAATGCCCAACAAAATATCTAACACCTATTCATATATTAGAACATAAAAAATTATAAGAAGTTAATATTCAAAATGCATTAAGTACATTTATCATAATAAAAGCCAGCTCATAAAAGTTTACATAAATGTATAAGAAAAAAACAAACATAAAACAGAGTGTGTATCGGCTGAACGTTTCAATATTTTTTTGGTTCAATTTGTAGAGAGATCGTTTTATCTGAATTGCTACCACACCACGGCGAATGAGGGTTGGTTCAAGCAGACGAGCGGGAGAAACGTGGCGGTCCGAACGCTGAAAGTAACCACTTAGGTCGGCGCCGACTGACGTCGAGATTAATTTTACGAGCCTGTTGGTCTAGTGGTTGGTGACCCTGGCTGCTAAGCTGGAGGTAGTGGGTGAAATTCCCAAACGGGACAGATATTTGGGTGACAACCACGATCCTTTTTTTAGTGTCTAGGTGTAATTTATCCATAATATGTATGTATGTATTTAGAAATATTTAAGTATGTTAATCAGCAGTCTGTTTATCAAAGTACATGCTCTGCCTACTTTTAAATCAGACAGCCGTATGTGAGATGTGTGAGGTTATTATTATTAATTAAGGTTTTCATTTAATCGGTGTTTTTTTTTGTTATCTATACCTTGAAGACTTCCTACTCATACCAGACATGTTGTTGATTCTATTTTTATACTAATAAAGTTGCAAACAAGCCTAATTTTAAGGACTATTCCTTTTAGAATTGTATCATACCAACAGAATCTGTTGTAGTTTTTTTCGTGTTTGTGGTCACGTCTAAAATAAATGTTACATAATTTTGTCCATAGAAGGTAAAATATATTAGGTGTTAACAGTTTTCCAGTTTAACGTGTAAAGGTCTTTCACTGTTTAATTAAATGAAATCTCAAGAACAACATTATAATTTTATAAATAACTTCAGTCATAAACGTAATAGGTATTTAAAATATAGGCAGTTAATATACACTGCACGGATGGCGTAGTGGTTTAAGCGGTCATCTCGCCGCTTCCCACTGCGTTGAGTGTTGTGGGTTCGATCCCCACTGGCATCACCCTGTGGGGATGGAATCGGGAATCGAATCGGGGAATCGATCACACAAAGTGTTGATACACTTTGTGCGATCCACAAATAGTTGAACTGAGTCTGGGTGTTCTTTGTATCCGTTTCATGTATGTCTGTAAAGTCCACCGCGACACAGCATTTATACCTAGTTCGGGAGTTGTGATTTTATAAAGGAAAAAGTGAAATTAAATGAATATATTCAGATAAAAATCTTAAGTCTGTATAAAAACGCGGTTATGAAACGCTCGTCTACACCTCCGCATCCCCGTCGTTCGCAGGCGCCGGCGCCAAGCGGATAAGATATTGATTGTAACACGTGTCGCCCACGGCTGGGCTTAGTTCTGGGACCTGCAGCTATGGGAATAGTGCACCACCACCTGTTCACTAAAAGCTTTTATGGGCTAAGCGTGCGAGATTATTCTAAAAAAGTAGGTATATTAGTATATTGGAAAAATTGTAAGAAAATCTTCATTTAGAAATAATAACTTAACACATTTCTTTTATTTAAATCTAATTACATACATGTTATAGATAATTACACCCAGAAACAAAACCAATAATCGTGCTCATCATCATCAACAGCCTTTAACAGTCCACTGCTGGATATAGGCTTCTCCTTAGAAAGGTGGTTTTGGCCTACTATACCACGCTGACCAGACGGGTTAGTATAGGGTTTGTATTAAGTTTTCCTTCTCTTTGCACTGCCGTTGTCCTACGTAGTTAACTCCCTTAGTCGGCTAATGAATAGGGGTGGTGCTCATTACACGACCTCTGACTCAGCACTCAGCAGCCAAGAACATGAGCCACTGGACCTGCAGGCCAGCCATGTCTAAAATTTCTCTTATACGATTAATGCTTTGCTAAGGAGGGAAGTAGATTTACTGTATTTCCAACTCCTCCAATTTTCTTCTGATTAATTCCGTTGCGGGTTCCAAGACATTTTGTTGTTTTCCTGGGACTTGCCGAGTATTATAACTCGGTGTGTTCGTGGGTCACTGCTGTTGATCCTGGTGTACAGGAGTTACAGTGGTGCGCGTGGGGGCGGAATTAGTCCCATTAAAAAAAAAATACGTTTAATGCTGTCAAAAATGACAGAAAAAATAAGAAAAATCCTTGTTCTTTGAGCTTTTTCTCCTTCTTTTACGCATATCTTTTTCGCCTTTCGTCTTAATAACGTGTACTTACTGTGTACTACGTAACTTAATAAGTGGCACTATGTTTTAACTTCTTAATTTTGTTCAGCGTTAAAGCGAATATAACAGTTATCAAACTGTAAGTATTAGTTTATATTTTAAACGTAGTCGATATTTTAGATTTATTTTATCATATTTTCAAAGACAGACATCTCAATCTAACTATTATAACAAACAGACAAACAAACGGTTTTCATTTCAGTGCATAACTTTGATAAGAAATCTGTTTCTGGTTTGATTTATTGGGACTGAAAGCTGCCGGTTTTAGCCAAACTAGAAATAGACAACACTGATCTATTAATAAAATATTACTTGTGGTTTGTGTGTGCAACTATGAAATGTAAAGTTACGGTGGTTTGCATTTTGTAATCTTAATAACTAAAACAAAGACAGGTTACTTACACCAGCTACAACAAACAACGGCTGAACCGATTTGAATGATGTTTGATTTTTTGGATTTCTAAAAAGTAATGACCTCACACATATCACATAGGGCCGTCTGATCCCAAACGAGGCAGAACCTGTACTATGGTAACCAGACTGCGGATAAACATACTTATATATTTCTAAATACATACATATTATAGATATACAAATGATCGTGCTCATCATACAACTATTTGTCCTGGGTGGGAAATGAAACCACGAGCTCTGGTTTAACAGTCTGGACCACTAACCACTAGGCCAACAGGCCCTGGTCAATTAACTATCAGCTATTCAATCATTAAAAAGATATGAAGAATATTCAGCTTCTCAGACGCAGTGAAAACCTAACCCGATGAAGAGCGTAGCTGTGATTAAAAACGCAGGTGAAACTGCGGGGGATCACTAGTTTACCATAAATAATTGAATATTATATATGTATTGGTTACAATGTCATTCAAATTAATGAAACTGCAATTTGAAAATTACCTAATGGAAACTGACATCAAAACTAGGATATACAGAATAGTTTACGAAATTAGTTCAGTTTACAAGGCTCCTTCTTGACTTTTGTCATAGATCCAAGTTTGAGTTTCAATCATGGATCTGGCCAATGGATCTCCTGAGATAGAACTAAACAAAAATTCTTGTTAGATCCATTTAATATTATGATAGATCTAATGAGAAAAAATAAATTTACTAGATCCATTATGAACCTTTGAACCTTTCAATCAATGATAGACAGGGTGTAAGGGACATCGTAACGAATACTGAAATAGTGTGTTCCGACCGTCATTCTCAGTCGAAAATCATTGCAATTTTCTGCCGACACCTTGTAAAACTTTCAATCTTGTTTCAATCACGGTCATGCCTGACCAAAAAAAAAAGAATACTTTTAACTAAAACAAGAAATACCTAGATCATTTGTACTTTTATTAATTAGAATTATTAACTGTTTTATAATGTTCATAGACCATTACAATTTGTATATGTATAGTATGTACACACATACAAGCTATATCATCATCACCATCATCATCAACAGCCTTTCATAGTCCACTGCTGGACATGAACCTGTCCTTAGAAAGGAGGTTTGGAAAGCTATATGCCTTAAAATATTTATTCTTTTCTGTACTTTTCTGAAAGATATATTGTAAGGAACTCATGCATATACTTAATTTTCAGAAGTGATACTAAGTTATATTTAGCTAAATAGGTATATTATACCTCTGCCTACCTCCTTAGGAATACAACCGTGATTGTATGACGTTTTGATCAAATCCTACAAATTAGTACGGATCTGTTCCATTACGAACACGGTGTGTGGATATAGTTGGCATGTGTGTGCGATGCTCATGCGCATGTTGTAAGAGCACGTGGGTGTTTGATGTATTAATGTTGTGGTGCTTTTAAGGTTATCGCTGGGTGGAAGGTGATCTGGCCCGATAGACCGATGCCATGGCACTGTACACCGGCAAGACATTATGGTTTATAGAGTGAAATGCTTGTTTTAAATCTGGTTTACTTCTAGCAGTAAACTTTGAATCTTTTAGTTGTTGTTTTC